TCTGGACGTTTTTAAATCCCAATATTCATCAAAAGCGACGTAATTAAAGAAGTAAGTGCACTGATTTCTGCGATGAAAACTGCGATGGATATCTGCAAAAGTTACTGTGACTGGTTTAGTCCTGGTTTAGTCCTGGTTTAGTCCTGGTTTAGTCCTGGTTTCGTCTTGGTCCAGTCCTGGTTCAGTCCTGCTCCGGTCCTGGTCTAGTCCTGGTTTAGTCCCAGTCTAGTCCCAGTTTAGTCCTGGTTTCGTCTTGGTCTGGTCCTGGTCCAGTCCTGGTTTAGTCCTGGTTTAGTCCTAGTTTAGTCCTAGTTTAGTCCTGGGCTAGTCCTGGTCTTGTCCTGGTCTTGTCCTGGTTTAGTTCAGTCCTGGTCTAGTCCTGGTCTGGTGCTGGTCCAGTCCTGGTTTAGGCCTGGTCTAATCCTGGTTCAGTCCTGGTTTAGTCCTGGTCTAGTCCTGGTTTAGTCCTGGTCTAGTCCTGGTCTAGTCCTGGTTTAGTCAGTCCTAGTCCTGGTTTAGTCCTGGTGGTCTAGTCCTGGTTTAGTCCTAGTCCTTTCCTAGTCCTGGTTTAGTCCTGGTCTAGTCCTGTCCTAAGTCCTGGTTTAGTCCTGGTCTAGTCCTGGTTCGGTCCTGGTCTAGTCCTGGTTTCAGTCCTGGCCTAGTCCTGGTCTAGTCCTGGTCTAGTCCTGGTCTAGTCCTGGTCTAGTCTGGTCTAGTCCTGGTTTAGTCCTGGTTTAGTCCTGGTCCGGTCCTGGTCCTGGTCCTGGTCGGTCCTGGTCACGTTCTGGCCTGGTCCTGGTCTAGTCCTGGTCTAGTCCTGGTCTAGTCCTGGTCTAGTTCTGGTCTAGTCCTGGTTTAGTCCTGGTTTAGTCCTGGTCCAGTCCTGGTCCGGTCCTGGTCCGGTCCTGGTCGCGTTCTGGCCTGGTCCTGGTCTAGTCCTGGTCTAGTCCTGGTCTAGTCCTGGTCTAGTCCTGGTTCAGTCCTGGTCTAGTCCTGGTCTAGTCCTGGTTTAGTCCTGGTCTAGTCCTGGTCTAGTCCTGGTCTAGTCCTGGTTCAGTCCTGGTCTAGTCCTGGTCTAGTCCTGGTCTCCTGGTCTAGTTCTGGCTGGTCCTGGTCTAGTCCTGGTCTAGTCCTCCGGTTCTAGTCCTGGTCAGTCCTGGTCTAGTCTGGCTGGTCTAGTCCTGGTCTAGTCCTGGTTAGTCCTGGTCCTAGTCCTGGTCTAGTCTGGTTCAGTCCTGGTCTCCTGGTCTAGTCCTGGTTCTCCTGGTCTAGTCCTGGTCTAGTCCTGGTCTAGTCCTGGTTCAGTCCTGGTCTAGTCCTGGTCTAGTCCTGGTCTAGTCCTGGTTCAGTCCTATAAACTGACGCCTTTACGGTTCAGCTCTGTGAAAATATGACTCCACCTTTTTCAATTTAGTTACTTTTAATTACAATTCACTGATATTTTCTCGTCAAAACTCATCAAAACATTTTCATTATTACCCGAATTCAACTATTTTCAAGTTTTAAAAATACGATTTGACTTTTGCAGCGAAGTAAACCGAAGTAAACGCTGTCATCATCAAAAACGCGACGCGAAAAAAAATTCTGATCCTCGTCCAGATTTGACAGCTTCCACCGAATTAACTTTAACTCGTAAAAGGTGACCGCCCGAGCCTAAAAATATTAATCGACTGGGAAAAAACACATGGCTGCGTTTGTTACTTGCCAAAACACGCGCAAAATCAAACTAGTTAATTATAAATTCAGCGTGAAATCGTATTATTTTTGCCAGCCCATAGATCATGTATGACTTGGCGTGACCTTAGTATTTTTCAGAATAGGCCCCATCTGGGAAAGCGGTAATGACGCCGCGCTAAACTAAAAAACTAAAAATAGCCCGTTTTTAATTATCTCTAGCAAGTAATTTTAACACCGTTCGGAGTCGTTTGATAGCTTTAAGTGTAGAAATATGCAAAATAAATTGTTTTTTTTCCCAGACTTACTTGAACGTTACTTGAAAAGAGATTAATTTGTGAACAGCATTTTTGAAGTGTGTTGTTTTGGGTTTTCTTTTTTATCGGCGGAGAGGCGGTTTATCAGTGTAACTTTGTTTGTGTAGAGAAGGAGAAATAACATAAATAAATAAATAAATACGAAAATAAAAAATACAAGTGACAAGATTGTGAAATGTTTACGAGGAATTACTTGAAATGGTAGCGTTTTTGCGAGCTTTAAGTCGTGTTATAATGTTGTTACCTCGTCAAAAACAGACCTGGACTTGCGTTTTGTTTCACTCACATGTTTAATTAACTCTTTATTTTTAGTCTGTCTACATCTTCAAAGCTCAAAATGTTCAGTTCCACTTTGTAAGGCTGTGAAATTAACCAAATTTTGAGTGTGATTTCGATTTCGTGTGTCAGACGATCTCCTAACTCATATAATCAAGTTGAAACAATTTAAACTTTAACAAATTATATTTATTTTATTTTTTTTTTAAATACAGAGAATGTAGAAAAGCTGGATGTACACGTTTTAGAACACCAACCTAATTTTTCCAGTTATTTATTGCAATTCAAGTCGTGCAAGTCCAGTGAAGATGGTGCAAAGGTAAGAACAGAACAGACAGAGGTTAAAAAAAAAAGATAAAAGATACAAAACATAAGTCCAAGCTCTGCCAAAACTACCTCAGGAAAAAAAAACAAGATGGAAAACTTGAAAACATGGAGTGTCCAGCTAGGGGTGTCAAATGATCGCGTTAATTGCGATTAATTAATTACAGTCATATTTAGCGCGTTATGTTTTTTAATCGCGTTAATCTCATTTTTAATCTCTAACTTTAGTGTTTCTGTATGCGAGTTGCTTTATTATAAAACCTGTTTTTATGTGTTGTTGGGACAACAACAATACACACAAACACACACACAAAAACCACATTTATACATTTTTTTATTTCGGTAATTCCACTCATTGCCGGAAACCCACACATAAAACGCGCGCAGTAAGAGCGATGTAAACGTCATGTTAACGTTGGCGGCGTCAGTCGCACAATGGACGAGGTCGAAGAGCCAGTAGAACAGAGTCAGCAGTGCACAGGTAAAAACACATTCGTGTCTTGGAAATTATTCTCCCAACGTGAAATATAAAAGAAAATAACAAATATAAAATCGCCTACAACTTAAATGTCACTGGTGAAAACAACCTGCATAGACTCATGATGTCTGCACTACTGTCCTATAGTGACCTGCCACATGAGGGGACACGCACACAACACAACACACACAACACACACAAACACAAACACACACAAACACAAACACACACAAACACAAACAAACACACACCTTCATCATCGTCATTAACCTGAGAACGCGCGGACCAAGTTTCCTTCCGTAGTTACTGCGTGGACACCGACGTGCTCCCGTGAGCCGCGTGTGGATCGTGTTTTCTCGCTACGCTGCGTAAACCGCGCTTCCTCCTGTGCGCCTCTAAACCAGAACTAACACCAAGACTAAAACCAGGACTAATCCAGTCCAGGACTAAACCAGGACTAAACCAGAACTAAAACTAGAACTAAAACCAGAACTAAAACCAGAACTAAAACCAGAACTAAAACCAGGACTAAAACAGGATTAATCCATTCCAGGACTAAACTAGGACTAAAGTAGGACTAAAGCAGGTCTAAACCAGTGATCTCATATATAAAGCATTTCTCTATCAATAATATTTTAAATCTGGTTAAGGAAAGACTGGACTTTTTATTGTCTTTAAGTAGACAAAAGTTATTATGTTCAGATTTCCTCGTCTTTGCTACTTTACAGCAAACAGTTTCTTATTCATGGAGACTTGGGCTCAACAGCCAAATTGGAGAGATTTGATAAACAATAAATGACTTTATAAAGTCACTTTTTTAAATCTATATCAGTCTTTTGATCTGCCACAATAATGTAATAATGAATTTAAATGAAAATACCTCAAATTGAAGCTTTTCTCAGCAATTTTTAGGTGAGATTAAAATGAGATTAATTAGATTAATTAATTACAGATCATAATTAATTAATCTCTTAATTTTTTTAATCGCATGACAGCACTATGTCCAGCAGAGTCTCTAAACTTAAACCCCAACGAGACAGAAGAAGCAAACTACAAGTGTCACACATTTATGAAAACTTCTGCAACAGACTTGGGAAGAACTTTCTGAAGAATATTTGATTTCTATTGTAAAAAGAACGAGCCTCGAGTGTGTTCAGCTGTTATATCTGCCAAAGGTGGACACTTTCATGAATAAAAAGTTTATGAATATGTTTTGGTCAACAGGAAACAGTAAAAAACTTGAAAAAAGTGTGGTGTTCTAAAACTTTTGACCAGTAGTGTATTGTTTATTTTGGATACATTTATGTTTTCTATGCCTTATTTCATGTTCAAAATATATTTTATTCATTTTTTTTGTTTGTTTTATACGTCGCAAAACTGGTACATATCTATATTTATTTTAAATTTGAAAGTTTTTTGTTTTTTTTTGAGAGAAATTCTGAATAAATGCATCGTGTAACAAAAAAATAATCTGAATTATCGTGATTTCAATATGGACCAAAATAATCGTGATAATGATTTTTTCCATATTCGAGCAGCTCTACCACATTGTGATGATATCTAGTGGTAGTTTTCAAGTTAAAAGCTCCTTTTACCTTTTTTTTTTAGTAGAGATTGGCAAGTCCTGGTCTGAAATTATCCAATAGTGAAGGTGTATGGAGTTTAAAAACACAGAGGAGCACTTCTTCCTATATTATCACAAATTGGAACAGAGTGGTTTTTTTTAGTTTGAGTTAAGAACTGAGAGGAAAATGACAGAAAATAGTGATACGGACTTGGATATTTGATAAACTCGCTCTGCATTTACTCAGTGTCCCAACTTTTTCATATTTTTAGAACATTTAGAACAGTCAGCGCAGGAACTTTTCTATGAAGTCGTGTTTTTTCCAGACGAGCCCCATTTACAAACCTGTGCTCTCTTTGTGTTACAGGTGCATGATTGCAGATGAGGTAAGCACACGCACTTTGCTGGCTCAGGAAATACATTTATTCTTCCTTCCAAAAACAGCTCTCCCCAAAAACTAAAAAAAAAAAAACCTGTGACTTTGCTCTTCTGCGACTAAAGACGTTTCTCCACTTCGCACAGACGTAATCCGTTTTGACACTCGACTCATCCGCAGAGCAGATTAGTCCGGGACCTCACCTCGGCCAAGACTGTCGCGGACAATTTAAACAGAAGATTTTCCATCGCAGAAGTTGATTTTGTTTTGAAGATATGCAAAATCAGATTACCGAGATGGGGACTAATTTTAGAGTCTGACCAAAAAGTGTGTTCGCAGGTGGGAAAGAAAGATGCAATAAAAGTTGTTTGAAATACGGGTTTAAAGGTGTCTTTTTTCCATGGAGATGTTATTGTTTTGTCTAGAATGTTTCGCAGTATGGCATTAAACGTTTCTATCTCCACGAAAACCAAACCGGACTAAGTTACAGGTCAGATCTGTGGAGAGGCGACCCCACAAACACTCAGAATGTCTGTTTTTCTAAGTGTTTTTGAGCTTTAAAAACTTGAATAAATGTAAGGTTGAGCTGTTTAATGTCACACTGTGGAACTTTCAAAGCAGAGCAATGACATCTCCATAGCAACGAGAAGGCGACGGACCTCCAGCCAGAAAGTTACACAGCGCAACTTTAATCAAATACAGCAAACTCTTTGAAATCCAAGAAGTCAATTTTAACAAGAATTAAAAATGCATTGTGTCAATTTTTTTCTGGTGATATGTTATTGTTTTGTCTGGAATGTTTCACAGTATGGCATTAAACGTTTCTATCTCCACGAAAACCAAACCAGACTAAGTTACAGGTCAGATCTGTGGAGAGGCGACCCCACAAACACTCAGAATGTCTGTTTTTCTAAGTGTTTTTGAGCTTTAAAACTTGAACAAATGTAAGGTTGAGCTGTTTAATGTCACACTGTGGAACTTTCAAAGCAGAGCAATGACATCTCCATAGCAACGAGAAGGCGACGGACCTCCAACCAGAAAGTTACACAGCGCAACTTTAATCAAATACAGCAAACTCTTTGAAATCCAAGAAGTCAATTTTAACAAGAATTAAAAATGCATTGTGTCATTTTTTCTGGTGATATGTTATTGTTTTGTCTGGAATGTTTCACAGTATGGCATTAAACGTTTCTATCTCCAGGAAAACCAAACCAGACCAAGTTACAGGTCAGACCTGTGGAGAGGCGACCCCGCTCACAGTCAGAATGCCTGTTTTTTTAGGTATTTTTGAGCTTTAAAACCACCTGTAATTGAATAAATATAAGGTAAAGCTGTTTAATGCCACACTGTGGAATATTCCAGGCAGAGCAGTGACAATATCCATAAAAATAAGAAGGTGATGGGGTCCCAACCGAAAAGTTACATAGTGCACATTTAAAGCAACATCTCTGCTTTGTGAAGTTTTGCCAGTGGTTAAAGATGCACCATGTAACTTTTCTTCTGGAAAGTCTGACACCGTTTTGTAGTAATAATGTTTGTTTTCAATGTATTTTGGTGATACAAACTCCTGTATCTGAATAAATACAAGATGGATACAAGATAGAGTGAAGCATTCCAGGCACAGTAATTACATCTCCATTGTGGCAAACCCTCACAGAAATGTTACATAGTGCACCTTTAATATGATGATAAAAGACTTAAATGTTATATACAAAATATCTATTCATTTGATTTGTGTATAATGCTTTTCCAATGTTGTTTTATCAAATCACCATAAATAAAAATGGTTGTTTATGTTACTGCTTAACCTTGAATGTTCCACACTATCGCAATAAATGTATCTATCTCCATGGAGACGAGCAGGTCAGATCTGTAGAGAAAAAAGACAACTCCAGTCACATTAAGAGTTCATCATTTTCACTGTATTTATGAATCTAAACACAGTTGATAGATGAATAAATGCAAGTTAAACGATCCAGGTAGATGATGTACCTCACTCTAGAAATGTTACACAGTGCACCTTTATTAAAACAAATATATTGAGACACTTTTGTAGATAGATCCCCCACTTTTACGGATAAGTTTTTGTTATTTTTGTCTCAGATGGGTCTGGGTAAAACCGTCCAGGCCATAGCGGTGGCGTACTCGTACAGACAGGAGTGGCCCCTGCTGGTGGTGGTCCCGTCCTCTCTCAAGTATCCCTGGATCGAGGAGCTGGAGCGCTGGGTCCCAGAACTGAAACCTGGAGACATCAACCTGGTGGAGAACAAGAGTCATACTATGTAAGTCCAGCCACACCCAACTTAACAATGTATTGTAATAATACTTCCTACATCGTGAAATAATAGATAAAAACTTCGCTGCAAACTATAGTCTGTAACTACAAACAGTATAGCTAGTGCTGTCATGCGATTAAAAAAATTGAGAGATTAATTAATTATGATCTGTAATTAATTAATCTAATTAATCTAATTTTAATCTCACCTAAAAATTGCTGAGAAAAGCCTTCAATTTGAGGTATTTTCATTTAAATTCATTATTACATTATTGTGGCAGATCAAAAAGACTGATATAGATTAAAAAAAGTGACTTTATAAAGTCATTTATTGTTTAACAAATCTCTCCAAATTGGCTGTTGAGCCCAAGTCTCCATGAATAAGAAACTGTTTGTTGTAAAGTAGCAAAGACGAGGAAATCTGAACATAATAACTTTTGTCGACTTAAAGACAATAAAAAGTCCAGTCTTTCCTTAACCATATTAAAAATATTATTGATAGAGAAATGCTTTATATATGAGATCACTGGTTTTAGTCCTTGTTTTAGTCCTGGTTTAGACCTGCTTTAGTCCTAGTTTAGTCCTGGAATGGATTAATCCTGGTTTTAGTCCTGGTGTTAGTTCTGGTTTAGTCCTGGTTTAGTCCTGGTTTAGTCCTGGTTTAGTCCTGGTTTAGACCTGGTTTAGACCTGGTTTAGTCCTGGTTTAGTCCTGGACTGGATTAGTCCTGGGTTTACGCCGCGTACGCGAGAAAACACGATCCACACGCGGCGCACGGGAGCACGTCGGTGTCCGCGCAGTAACTACGGAAAGAAACGTGGTCCGCGCGTTCTCAGGTTAATGACGATGATGAAGGTGTGTGTGTGTTTGTGTGTGTTTGTGTGTGTTTGTGTGTGTGTGTGTGTTTTGTGTGTGTGTGTGTGTGTTTGTGTGTTTGTGTGTGTTGTGTGTGTTTGTGTGTGTTTGTGTGTTGTGTGTGTTTGTGTGTGCGTGTCCCCTCATGTGGCAGGTCACTATAGGACAGTAGTGCAGACATCATGAGCCTATGCAGGTTGTTTTCACCAGTGACATTTAAGTTGTAGGCGATTTTATATTTATTTTCTTTTATATTTCACGTCGGGAGAATAATTTCCAAGACACGAATGTGTTTTTACCTGTGCGATGCTGCTTCTGTTCTACTGGCTCTACTGGGTTTCCGACAATGAGTGGAATTGCCGAAATTAAAAAATGTATAAATGTGTTTTTTGTTTGTGCGTGTGTGTTGTCCCACCAACACATAAAAACAGGTTTTATAATAAAGCAACTCGCATACAGAAACACTAAAGTTAGAGATTAAAAATTAACGCGATTAAAAAACATAACGCGCTAAATATGACTGTAATTAATTAATCGCAATTAACGCGATAATTTGACACCCCTAGTAATAATACTTCCTACATCGTGAAATAATAGATAAAAACTTCGCTGCAAACTGTAGTCTGTAACTACAAACAATAGTACACATATATAACACATAGCTTTCTTCTGGCTCGCTGTTAATATACGAGATAATATGACATTAGCCACAACCAAATGCGTGTCGTCGCTAATGTTAATATCAGATCTGGATACAATTAAGACGAAACTGCAGCTCCATCAGTGATAAAGCCAACATAAGAATACTTCTCAACTAATTTTGTCAGAATAAATAGCCAACTTACCGTATTTTTTGGACTATAAGTGGCATTTTTTTTCATGGTTTGGGTGCGACTTATACTGACAACCATGAGAGGCTCTAGGCTTGTTTGCCAGTATCGGCTTCTCCTTTTACTTCGCCCTTTACTGCGCATGTCTCCTGCAGAAAAAGCCTCTGTCCTGCTGCAAGTAGTGAAATATTCAACTGAAAACTGTAATGGAGCAGCAGAAAGAAAGTTTGGAGTGAGTGAGAAACTTGTGAGGGACTGGCAGAAAGTGGGGATGAAGAACACAGCTTCACAGGAACTGGGAGGGTGCGACATGAAACTTTCCTGGAGTCATTGCACGGATTGACGAAGCCTGGACTTCAGTGACACCGAAACCATCCTGTCGGGATTCTGGCCGGAATAATTCTAACTGGAACTGATGCTGAGTCTGACGACAGCGACACAGAAGAGGAAGCGGCGCTCTGTTTACCTCCGGAGGTCGCGGAGTTGTAATGGATCTATAATAATTTATTATAGTTCGATGGGAGTTGTTCAGAAGTGACAACGAGGATGAAGAATTGAGTGGATTTAGTGATTTGGAGTGAGATGGAGAGTTTGTTAAACTTGTTGTGTTCTGTTGTTTATGTTATATTTATCTGAAGAACTGTTCATATGTGACGTTAACAGTCTGTTGTTCTCTCTTCTATTGTTTTTACTATAACTTGCCGTTGAAGATGAAATTTCGGTTCCTGGTGTGGGAAATATTATGTGTTGGTCATGCTAATTCACCCAATATTATGGACTTTGGAATGACAACAGGGTGGAAAACACGTATGACTATCTATAGGTCTATATAACATGTTTTTTCTGTACTTTGAGTGCCATAAAGAACATGTTTTTCTGTACTTTGAGATGCCACGAAGCAGAAAAAACTGACATATGTGGACCCCGTGGCATGTTCCCACCCATGATAAGGTGCACTGGGTCAGCAGTATTGTTCATTTTCTTGCTGTATATGCTAAATCAACAAGTTAATGTTTTGTCAAGATGTAGTATAAAGCTACCCCTGATTTCGAGTTGGTCAGAGACGTCGTTCCGGGGTGGCAGTTGTACTTGGTAATCAACTTGAATCCCTCTCAATGGAAAATGACGAAATAAAGTGGCCTGTTCTCTCGGATTCTCCATCTCTTGTGCTTCTTTTTAGGACACGCATTGAACCTTCCGAAAAAACCCACACTGGTCTCTCATTTTATAAAATTTAATTTCCCCCAAACAGTGTGACTTATAGTCCAGAGCGACTTATATTGTGTTTTTTCTTCTTCATTACGCAATGTTTGGTTGGTGTGACTTATATTCCGGAGCGACTTGTAGTCTGAAAAACACAGTACTGACATCGTGGTCTTTCATCGAAGACAAAGATGTTCCACTGCCATACAAAAAATTCCCAGGCAAATGACGTCATGCCCAGTATCCCTGTGAAACTACGCTACCAGGAACGCCTCATGACGGTAACGCCCAGGCTGCAGCTGGACCCTTCAAATAATCTTACACGATGACTGTATTACTAATAAATGAACATCGCAGCCGGTTTTAAATACGTCGTCTTTTTGCCGACATTTGTTCAAAACATCTGTAAGCTCATTTCCGCATCATCTTTACAAAGACGGATGACATTTTTATAGTAAACAGAGTAAGACTACAGCATACATACATACATACATACATACATACATACATACAGTGCTGCTGCTGCTGCTGCTGGGGGCTGGGGGTTGGCGTTGCATTGTGGGGCCTGTGTGTTGTAGAAGCATCGATTCACGGAGCTCCAGATAATGACGTTGGGGACCACAGCGCAAACATCTGCCTGTAATTTGAGTTTAAGCGATACTTAACATCTGTTTACACGTGCTGACGCAGAGAAAATGGTCCAGCAGGTACAAGGCGCCAATTTCACATTATTAACATTTCTCCTCACGAACTAAAACGTTTATATATACATTTATTTACACGCACAGTGGTTTCAGAATAATGACAAATAGGACAGTCGCAATAGAGATTAAATGTCCTATATTCAGCGAAATTTACTCTTGTGAGCTTTAAACCATGTTCGAAAGTCAAAAAACAAACCCGGAGTTGTGTTTTATTTCATTCAAACTCTTTTTATTATTAAACACTTCAGCCCGTCTCCATCTCTGCGACTATGAAATAAAAGAATCCTGTTTTATCCTGAACAAAACAAGTCTAAACTCCGTGTTGAGAAGAGCCGTGATTTCTTTCTCAGTCATTAACACTTAACACTTCGCACCTCGTCAGCGCGGCCAGGTGGATGTTTTTATTTATTTAATTCAAAACAAAAACTGGGGGAAAGTTGAGGTGATTATAAAAGTGCACGAAAAAATAAGACTGCAAGTTAAATCGCAATCGAATTTTCAGTTTTTTTCAAGGCACAGTATGAATCTCAAACATTTCCAGTATTTCCATTTCATGTTTTCAAGCAGGAGGAGTCGGGTTTGTGGGGAAGCGAGCTCGATCAGAGAAAGGACAAATGTTTTTTAGTCTATCTTTTTATCTTTTTTGGGTAAAAAGATACACACTGTGGCTTTATTTTTTCCAGTGCAATTCTTATTAACAAGGTCATTATACGGTCATTGTAGTCTATGGCCCTTCTCTCTCTCTCTTTCTATCTATCTATCTATCTATCTCTATCACACTCTCTCTCTCTCTCTCTTCTTCGCTCTTCTATCTCTCTCTCTCTCTCTCTCTCTCGTCTTTCTCTTGGTTCTCTCCTTGCTTCCTCTCTCTTCTCTCTGTCTCATTCTCTCACACCCTCTCTCTCTCTCTCTCTCTCTTCCCTTTCTCTTTCTGTCTCTCCTCTCTCTTTCTATCTCCTCTCTCTCCCTCTCTCTTTGTCTATCTTTCGCTCTTTTTCTCCTCTCTCTGTCCTCTCTCTCTTTATCTATCACTCAGTCTCCCCTCTCTGTTGCTTTCTCTCTGCTCTCTCTTCCTCTCCCCTCTCTCTTTCTTTCTCTAGCTCCTCTTTCTCTCTTTCTCTACTTGCTTCCTTTCTCTCGTCTCTCTGTCTCATTCTCTCTCGCACACTCTCTCTCTCTATGTCTATCTATACTAGGGATGGGCATGATTAATCGATAATTGATCATTAAGAATTTCATCGATTACGTTAATTTTAATCGACAAACCGAATGTAGGTTGCTGTGCGTAACGTAACCAAACAGGGTCTGTACATGTGTCTCTGCATCAGAAGGAGCGAGACACAAACAGTCGGTCAGTCTGTAACGTACCGAAGCATAAATGTGTATTTAACGATGATTTGTACAAGAAATTCCAC